CCCACTGAGAGCGGACAGTGGGATCAGCATCAGCAGCAGGAGCAGGAGAGGCGCCAGAGGTGAGGTCAAAGAGAGAAAGGCCGTCTGCTCTGTCGCACTGTAAGAACAGCTGCAGGTCGTCTAACCAGACCTCAAAGTCAATGGCGCGACCCTCAGCGTCAAAAGCTAGGACACTAGGGGTAGCCATGGCGACTACAGCGAAGCAGTGCAAGCAGTAGGGGAAGAGCACGCAGTGGCAGTGGGACTGTGCTCACCAGGCAGGGCAGGTGGTGCAGCTCTGCAGAAAGGCGGCTCGGCGACCGGGCGGCTCGGGTGCACAGCGGCTCGGCTCCCGGGCGGCTCGGCGGCAGGGCGGCTCGGGTGCAGGGCGGCTCGGCTCCCGGGCGGCTCGGCGGCAGGGCGGCTCGGGGGCAGGGCGGCTCGGCTCCCGGGCGGCTCGGCGTAGGGCGGCTCGGCTCCCGAGCGGCTCGGCTGCACGGCTGCCCGACTGCTGCAGGTGGTGCGACAGGGCCGCGTGAAAGAACCGGGGCGGGGCCGCGTTAGAGCCGGCGGCAGGGGCCGCGTGAGAGCCGGGGCGGGGCCGCTTCAGAGCTGGCGGCAGGGCCGCAAGAGAGCCGGCGGCGGGGCCGCTTGAGAGCCGAGGCAGGGGCCGCGTCAGGGCCGGCGGCGGGGCCGTAAGTGAGCCGGGGCGGGGCCGCAAGAGAGCCGGCGGCGGGGGCCGCAAGAGAGCCGGCGGCGGGGCCGCGTGAGAGCCGGGGCGGGGCCGCGTCAGGGCCGGCGGCGAGGCCGCGAGAGAGCCGGGGCGGGGCCGCGATCAGGAGGCGGCGGCGGGGCCGCGTCAGAGCCGGCGGCGGGGCCGCGTCGAGGCGGGCGGCGGGGCCGCGTCAGGGCCGGCGGCGGGCCGCGATCAGCGGGCGGCGGGGCCGCGTCAGAGCCGGCGGCGGGGCCGCGTCAGAGCCGGCGGCGGGGCCGCGATCAGCGGGCGGCGGGGCCGCGTCAGAGGAGGCGGCGGGGCCGCTGCAGAGGAGGCGGCGGGGCCGCGTTAAGCAGGGGTGGCGGGGCCGCGTCAGAGGGACAGTGGGGCCGCGAGAGCAATGGCGACCCGAAGGGTCGCGAAAAAAAAAATGCGCGCCTCGGGGCGCGCTTCGGTGGGCCCAAAAAAACGGTCTTTAGGAAGGACCCGCTCTATACCATGTGAAACAAGTAAACAGGAATGAAATGACTAAGTCAGAGTTGGGTACAAATACAACCCTAGAAAGCTGTACCCCATATGAGCTACCCCACTATAGCCTACAAACATGCATCAGCTATGATAATCTGACAGCTGTCACCTGCCGTCCGAATCTATCGTACTCCGCAAGTCAGTTCGCGACCTACCTCAAGAAACCTGAAGCAGAACACATAGCGGAACTCGACCGCGCTCTCCGCTACCTCGTCAGCACCTCGACCGTCGGCTTAACCTACCACAAGAACGGAACTACAACGCCTAAACTAATCGGCTACGTTGATGCTGATCACGCCGGCGACTTCGACAACAAACGCTCGCGCACCGGCTACATCTATCGCCTCGAACCTATCGGACCCATCTCGTGGCAGTCAAGTAAGTAGGAGTTAATCGCCCTCTCTTCAGCTGAAGCATAATATATCGCACTCTGCTCAGCCACCAAGGAAGGACTGTACATTCGCGAAATTGTGGAGGAAGCGAAGCTGGCTTAGTTACCCAGCTTCTCCCTGTTCTGCGACAACCAGTCGGCAATTCGCATAGCCAACAAAAATGGATTCGCGAACAGGACGAAACATATCGCCCTACGATATTTCTTCGTAAAAGACGAGATCGAGAAGGGGAGGCTCGAACAGTCTTACTGTCCCACGTCAGAGATGGCAGCTGATTACTTGACCAAGAAGCTCGGGAAGCAGAAGTTCGAGTACAGCATGCTGCTGGGTGGACAAAGCCACGTCACCAGCAACGACACTCCAGAAGCAAAGGGGAGTGTTGGAAACAATTGATATAGCGCCTTTGTCGTGTCAAAACACCAAGACAGAAGTGAAGTGAAACATATCGAAGCATTGGCGCGTCAACCCTCGGAGGTTGAATAACTGCTGGAGGTTACGCGAAAGTCAAAGGTCAGCGACCTTTGAACTGACAAGTACAGCGCGACAGCAAGGACAAACAACTGACTCGCTATTGAGCAGTTGCCCGAGTCGTCATTGTATAAAATCGCAACAGCAATAGCAAAACAGTTATTAGTTATAACCCTTCATATTCCCTTGTACTCTTACAAAAACTTGTATCTCTTTGTTTTAATCAATCTACTTTGCCCTCATATACCAGCGCAAGGTGGTTCACAAAGATTTCATTAAACGCTTCCGCTACTACATTTTCCTACTCAAAATTTAGTCCTGCAAAGATCCTAAGGGCTCTTCTCAGCCCAACATATGATAGCTATGCTGTAAGCGTTGATGGCTCGTGGTTTCAACCCAAATGGCTCATTCACATGAGCTAACATGGTAAACTCACATTGTGGTGCACATACATGAGGTCAATATGAATGCTGTGTCTTTTGCAATAGCACATGATTCCTCCCATGGACGATTTGCTAGAAAGGGTTTGCTTGGGAAGGATAAGTGCAGTTTGTAATGCTTGGAAACTAGCATCACATACGGTAGAAATTGGTGTTACAAGGATTTACAACCGGCAGTTCATATGTCTTGCTTGCCGAATCCGCCCCCTGCGTTTCAATTTCTGACGGTCGAGCTGATCCAGAAAGCTGACGTCGTTTGAATGACAGCGGGGTTCGACATGGACGCAGGTGACGGTTAGCGACTTTCGCCACCGTCATCGTGCCGCTTGGGGCTCACTGGCCAATTTGGTGGTTGGCTTGGGGAAGCTTTCCCCTAGAAAGTGAGTGGTTCGGACCGAACGCAACCAAGTTTGGCAAGTGTGGCTTGGCCCGGGTGGACTGCGGTGGAGACCATGGTTCGTGGTTTGTCAGGGGAAAAAGAGGTGAGCTTGCCTCAGTCAAGGTCAGGAAAGAAGTCTGTCCTCACTATCCTCTCCTCACCCCTCCCTGAGAACCCTCCACCAGCACCAGCACCGTACCACCAGACTTCTGATGGTGTCCCAATTCGAGACGCCATCTAACCTCGAGGACTACAATCAGCAGCTTCCGTGCATGGCTGCCCATCCCATCCAGATCCTCTAGATTTAAATAAGTTCGGTCTTTAGGTTTAGTAGAAGGTTCTAAATACATATCTGCGTATCTTGGACTTGCCGAACCAAAGCTCCTTGTCAAGCATTACTTGTATATAGGTAGTTTAGGGTTTCATCAGATTAGGTTCTGGGAACTATGCGTGCTGATTGTAGCGGCGGGTGAGCTGTCAACGATTCGCAGACCTGTACGCTAGTGAATCAATCCAGCAGGAACCATGTCGGGGATGGAGCCTCGGATAGCCAACAAGTATAGACTCGGGAGGAAGATTGGAAGCGGGTCGTTTGGAGAGATCTATCTGGGTATGTTAGCAACTATTTATGTACCACGAGGAATTTTAAGAGCTTATTCCATTAACGACTTACGTTCGTCGTCCCGTGACTTTCAGGCACGAACATCCAGACAAACGAGGAAGTCGGTATTAAGCTGGTATGCGACGTCATCAAGTGTCTCGTCATCATTCCTTTTAGCAGCAGAGTTGACAATATTCTGCTCGATCATTGACATGGCAGGAATCTACTAAGACCAAGCACCCTCAGCTGCTATATGAGTCGAAGCTGTACAGGATTCTGCAGGGTGGAAGTAAGTAGAGCAACAGCTTCTCTAGTTACCAGCTCTTGTCAGAATCTAAATGAGCGTTTTGATCGTTGCTCCCTTTGCATCGATCTTGCTGCGAAGTTCTCATTCCCGATCGATGCTCCTGTTGCGTCGCGTTTCCTTGAGAGAGTCTTACCGCGTCCCTCATATATCATCGCATGTTGAATACTCCCAGCCGGTATTCCGAACATTAGGTGGTTCGGCGTGGAAGGCGACTACAATGTGATGGTCATTGATCTGCTCGGACCCAGTCTGGAGGACCTTTTCAACTTTTGCGCCAGGAAGTTCTCGCTCAAGACCGTGCTCATGCTTGCAGACCAGCTGGTGGGTTTCCAGACGGTTGTCGCGGTCTCTCTCCCCCGCCGTTTCGCCCATTCCGCCTCTGCGCACACACCCCTTTACCTTCCCTTTTTTTAGTTACTTTTTGTTTACGGTGGTTGGATAGCCATCGGCTTTTTGACGCTTGTAAAGATACAGTTAGACGTCGTTTTCCGGCTGCATGGGGGCGGGTATAAATACACCACCAGTTCGAATACCTACCTCGGTTGCGAAGCTTGCTAGCTCTTCTCACATCCGCGACGGTCGCGTACACGAGGTGATTGATGCGACCAGATGGGATGGATGTAACGGCGGAACGTCATAATTAGCCGTCACAGACGTAAGATGTGATTTACGTTTAGTGAAGTAGCAGCCGCGGCTGACAGGAGGCGAGTCATAGTGACGCGAGTAAGAAGACATACTTTGTCAACTGACGTGTTCGGCCGACGCTGTTCCACCCTGGCAGCTCAATCGCGTGGAGTATGTCCATTCGAAGAGCTTCCTGCATCGAGACATCAAGCCTGACAATTTCCTGATGGGACTCGGACGACGGGCGAACCAGGCTTACGTCATTGATTTCGGTCTGGCCAAGAAATACCGCGATCCCACCACGCATCAGCATATTCCTTACAGGTTTGTGCTGGTTGCGTTGCCTTCATAATCTGGTAGCTTTGTCAATGTGTGCAGTTTTTTTGTATGTCCCTGCCGTCCCTTTTAAACATGTTGAGGGCTGACAGATGCATTCTCCATGTGCTGATTGTGCGGGCAGAGAGAACAAGAACCTGACAGGAACAGCTCGGTATGCCAGCATCAACACACATCTTGGCATTGGTATGTCACACGTTGCTCTTGTGAGACCAGTCGCCCACATCGCCTATGCCCGCCCTGAATATCGTGAGACTAATTCTACGTTTCTTCTTTCTCAACCTCCCCATTTCAGAGCAAAGCCGAAGGGACGATTTGGAGTCGCTTGGCTATGTCCTCATGTATTTTTTGCGAGGAAGGTACGTTGCACGGGATTATGAGGCAGCTGATTCGGTGCAGTGGTCAATGCTGCAGCAAGTTGGGAAATTGTTCTAAATCTCTTTGTTCTGGTTGACCCGACTGTTTGTTTCCTCTGCCATCTCTCCTTGCATTTCTTGTTCAGCCTTCCATGGCAGGGGCTGAAGGCTGGGACTAAGAAGCAGAAGTATGAAAAGATCAGCGAGAAGAAGATGTCCACTCCCATTGAGGTACTCTCCTTCGAAACATTCGATTCTGTATTCAGAAGCTGTTGAGAAGGTTATTGCGTGCTGTGCGGAGTGCATTTGCTCATTCTGCTTTGCTTGTTCTTTCCTCTTGTTACCCCTATTTATCAGGTTCTTTGTAAAGGCTACCCCACCGAGCTCGCCTCATACTTCCACTACTGCCGCTCGCTTCGCTTTGATGACAAGCCAGATTATGCCTACCTCAAGCGTCTCTTCCGCGACTTGTTCATTCGAGAAGGTACCACTTTTCGAGCATTCCCGCCTGCGCTTTTGCTGTGTTTCATCCATCATTGTTGCATTGCTCAATTTCATGGACAAACCATCCGCTGAAAGTCTTATTGTTCTGGTGTGTGTGGCTGACAGGGTTCCAGTTCGACTATGTCTTTGATTGGACCATTCTCAAGTATCAGCAATCCCAGGCATCCGTGGCTCCCCAGCGCCTCCTTGTACGTCTCCATGATTCCCGCCTTCCCTTGTCAGCATGTATGTCATGAGGCATCGCAGCCGAGAAGCTTCTAGTGTTGTGAGGATTGCGCCTTTCCCTTGTTGTCTCCCTCTGACGTCTCCTTTGTGTCTTTTTGCTGGTTGGTTCCAGGCAAACGCAGCTGTGGCTCCTGCTCCTGCGGCTGCAAACCAAGCAGCCAATGCCGGCATGGGTAAGGGATGAGCATATAGACGCATGTAGCTGCTTCCTATAACCATGTGTGCATTCTTTCACGCACGCCACCATGGTCTGGTCCCATTTCCTTCTCACCACACGAGCTCTTCTCCACTTGTTTGCAATGCCTCATTCTCGTCAGATGACATGGCGCGGCGTCGGTCACCGCTGATCGAGAGCCCAAGGCACAGGAGCCCACTGCGGGATGATGATGTGAGGGCTGCCAATCATCTCCTGCTGTTTCCCTGACTCATACTCTTGCTCCTACTTTTTCCTCAACCTTGACCCTACTCGCTGTACTGTGGCGGCGGTTTGCCTTTGTTGCTTCGTATCTCAGTCAGCTGAATCATGCCTCATGTGTTCCCTGATCCTGTTACCATTTGATGTTTTTTCTTCCTTACTGTGCGGTGCTGCCACTGTGCAGGGAGTTGATGCTGACCGTCAGATGCATCAGGGTGGCTACACGCGCACAGGCAGTGGCTCCGCTGCCAGGAGAGCAGCGGCTGCAGCATCTGGGGGTGGGGTGGGCATGGGGGTCCCAGGGACGAGGGCTGGAGGGGCAGCTGAGCAGGTGGAAGGGAAACGGTCAGGAGGGCTCGGCATTTCTAATGCTCTGTCTGGCATCCGTTCAGGGGCGCGGGTATGTTTCCCTCTGTCCATGTTAATTATCTTGCCTTCTTGGATAGGTTGTAGTTTCTCCTCTGCATTCTTTGCTTTCCTCCCCCTTTCCCTATGTCTGTCCTCCTTTCAAACTTGATAGGAGCAGCTCACAAATGTTTTGTTTTGTTGTTCTCCCTGCCTTTTGGTGCTTATGGCAATTTTTCATCGATGTTATTCCCTACACAGGGCCGTGACATGTTTGCTGGGGGTCGTCTAGGAGGCACCTCTCGTGGGCCCAAGGAGTAGACATGTAGCAGCCACAGACACTAACAGGTTGCCCGGTGGTTGCATTTACTTCAGTGGTGGACTGAGTTTCAGTGCAGGAGCAAGAAGTGGAGATTCGCTGATGGGAAGCTCCTTGAGGAAGCGCGGTGATGGCTGATGTTGTGGAGGATGGTTAGTGGACCTGGAGCAAGGTTTATAATCATCATACCAAGCTGGAGCATTGACAACACTTTTAGCCTGGCCTGGATGCAGAACTGGTAGAAGCGGGGCCATGGCTAATTGTACGGTGATGTCTTAGACTAGATGCAGCTACGTGACCAGAATCTGACCAACAGCCCAGCATTAGCTTGCAGCGATGGCAAGTGCAACCTTGGGCTGATGTCAGTCTGGTCCACGTCTTGACATTGCAACTTAGGTTGGCCCAAAATCACCACTGTCCTTTTTGTAATGCAATATTGAAACGCCGTGGGCACTGTTCCGTGAACAATATTTCGCGGACACTCTTCCGTGAACAATATTTGACGCTCAAGGGACAGCATCCCTCAGAAGTTCCCGCCTTCCGGCAGAAGCGTCACGTTGGTGTTTCGCTTTCCATCCACCCAGCCCACACCCCTTCCAATTCATACTCAAACAGTCCCTAACCGTACCACTCACCTTTCAAGCATTCTCAGCTTCTGTTCTGGTTTCTTAGTTTCGGTGTGTGCGCTTCCACCAGTGCTCTCACCAGTGTGATGACTATGACACCAGACGTCGAGAGCGCCATGTCAAGCCAGGATTGCCCTCGGTTAACTCAGCTATCACCAGATCAGCTCGAAAGGATTGAGAGAAATAGGCTGGAAGCAATTAAGAGGCGAGAAGCAGCCATTAGACGAAATGCGCTCGAGCGCGTGCCTGCAGTAGCTGCCAATTTGCGAGCTTCCGTTAATGCCGACACGCCGTTTAAAAAGAGGAGAATCGAAAATGTTATTCCGCCGGAGAATCTTCCTCCACCATACACCCCTGCTGTTACTCAGTCCGACCAAGTCAACGAGCCTAAGCAGCAAGACCCGAAAAAGCGTTCAGACGTTAAGCTCTCTGGAGAGCAAATGAAGGCACTGTCTGCCGTCTCTATGCGCAAGTCTGTCTTTGTGACAGGATGTGCAGGGACTGGTAAGAGCTTTGTGCTCGAGTTCGCTATCCGCTCACTGAGGTAGGGATACCGTTATAAAAAAATTCCACGTTGTCCCCTCCGTAGATGACTAAAACTGTTATTTTACACTTTCAGGGCTATGCATGGGAGCGATGCCGTTTATGTGACGGCATCGACAGGCCTTGCTGCCTGTGCTCTTTCAGGAACTACGCTCCATTCATTTGCTGGAGTTGGTCTAGGAAACGGTTCTAAAGAAGACTTGCTGCATAAGGTCCAGACTCGGAGAGAAGCAAGGCAGAGGTGGCAAGGTGCACGAGCACTGGTCATTGACGAAATCAGCATGATCGATGCCCAGTTTTTTGTGAGTTTACCTTTGCAACGTTGACAACTCGTGTCCTTTGTCCATATTACTCGCACTGATTATCCCCTCTCTGATGCTGGCACTCAGGATAACCTTGAATTCATCGCAAGAAAAATCCGCAAGTCGTCCAAGCCTTTTGGAGGCATTCAGCTTCTTGTAACTGGCGATTTTTTCCAACTCCCTCCAGTGAATCCTCAGAGTAACGTCGCTTACGCTTTCGAGGCGAAGTGCTGGAATGATTGCTTCAATCTGCAGATGGAGTTGAAGCATGTGTTCAGGCAGTCAGACCTCTCGTTTGTGAGCATGTTGAACGAAATTAGGGAAGGCATTGTCACACCTGCAACTCAGGAGAGACTGAGGAAGCGTATTAACTGTGCTCCAATCGGAAACGATGGCATCATGCTGACAAAGCTATACCCGTACAAGGTGAGCACAATGCTATATTGTCAAGTGAGTGTGCCTGCTTGTTGGATGTTTTGTTTGCATCCTTTGCCAACCATCTGACACTGCATCCTGTTTCAGGCAGATGTAGCAGGAGAAAACTTTCAGCGGCTCCGGGAGCTCCAAGAGATGGAAATGATGTACAATGCCAAGGATGAGGGGAAAAGCGAATATGCCAAGAAGCAGCTTGAATTCACGCGAGCTGAAAAGCGTCTGACACTGCGCCGTGGTGCTCAAGTCATGCTTATCAAGGTACCAACACTGTCAATTTTGTCTACTTGTTTCCATTCAGACATGCATTCTGTGATGACATGTGTGCACTCAAACATTGCAGAATCTAGACACTCCCCAAGGGCTTGTTAATGGTGCCAGAGGTGTTGTGGTTGGCTTTTGCGACCCTGCTCACCCGTCTGCTGCACAGTTTAGGCATCTGGCTCCCGTCATCAACCCCTCGGGGATGTGGCCCGTGGTTCGCTTTGCATGTGACCAGTCTGAGCGAATAATTGGTCCTGAAAGCTGGGCTGTTGAGGAATATGGTACTGAGATTGCCAAGCGCTGGCAAGTTCCATTGACTCTGGCATGGGCCCTCAGTGTGCATAAGTGCCAGGGAATGACCCTGGACAGGGTGGAAACTGACCTTAAGAGGGCGTTCGACTATGGAATGGTTTATGTCGCTCTCTCTCGGGTCCGGTCTCTTGAAGGTCTTCGACTTCTGGGCTTTGATGCTGGCAAGTCAAGGTATGTCTACTTTCTGTATTCAATCTACCTTGTACAACAGTTGTACATTGGGCTGACTTTCTGATATTCTTTGCAGGTGAACGTGAAGGCCGTAGAGTTTTACAAGCTATTGCAGAGACACAATGGTTCGGGCAAGATCGCCATTGAAGTTTGAAAGCAAATACGCTTTCCCATTTTTTTGCAGAAACCTACCAGAGTCTAACCCTGCTACTGTATATTCATCAATTAATGAATGTAATCTGACCATACGGTATTTAATAATTTCAGCAACCCCGTTCCAAACACAACAATCTTGGCACTACCTACCAACCAGACTTTTTGACGGATCAGCAAATGTTGGAAAACTGTTACTCCCCGACCTGTTAGAAAGCTCAGTGGCTTTGCCGTGTGCAGCTTCCTCTTCAACTGTTCTTGATGCTAACTCTCCTTTCGCTTTCCCTCCAGCACGTGATGACAGCAGCAGTATATGATCCTCTTGCTCCACCCTTGCTTGCTGGTCGCGACCTCCAGACGAGAACAAGCCGCCACAAGTAACAGAGGCCACAGGCGATTCCACGTCACTACCAGAATCATTGTTGTCATGACACCTGAAAGCACCACGCTCATTTGATTGAAAGTTTGGCGAGAAGTTGCTGTGGATGCCACATGCTTCATCGCTGCTGCTGCCATAAACCCCAACCTTTTCTTGAAACTCTGAGCTGCTACTGTCTGCAAGACCCTCACTGTGCTTGTGATCCTGGCTCCTTCCGTACGTGTAACCATAGCTGCCTGATGATCCCTGCTCATCAAGGCTCTTCCAGTACTGCACTGCCACATCTAGGGTCATCCCCATTGTGTCACTCTCCCCCTGCTGCTGTGCATGAACGACCTCCTGCATCACAAAAAGGGACCAGCCACACAGAGCCATGTCGCTCATTAGAACATAACAAAAAGGGCCGGTGGCAGGAGGAATGGGAGCAGGGTGAAGAATGGGGCAACGTGAGGGATGCAGGGATGCGCAAGAGCAGCGTACCGAAGGGGCCCAGGTTCTGACGAGTGGCGCGAGCACCGTGACCACGTCTGTCATGGAGGGTCGCTGGCGCGGGTCAGCAGCCACACAGTGCAGCGCCAGATCTGCCACCTTGCACAGCGAGGCAAACGCCTGACTGGCGTGGTCTGCCATGCCTGCTGCTATGGCAGGGTCCACCACCTGGAAAGAAGGGCGGAGAAAATAGAGATGCAGGTCAGACGATCGATAGGGGAAGATCTCACCTATCAATTTTCTGGCATGGTTGAATTGTCGCTGCTGCCTAAGATGACGTCATGAACAACCTCCCTCCACTTCCTCTGACCCTGTGGCTCCCTTCCCACCTTCCCATCTCCCCCTCTTCCCAGTTCTCCTCCCAGCTTCTTTCCACATCACCACCCACCTGGGCAAGCTTGGAGCGGTCGGGGATGATGGGGAGGAGGAACGTGGCTAGATGCGCTGACAGATCAGGCCGGGATGTGTCCACGGCTCGCCGGCCAGTGAACAGTTCCATGAGGATAACGCCAAAGCTGTAGACGTCCGAGCGTGTTGTCACTCTACCCATGGCTGGCGGGCAGACGGGATGAGAGTGAGGAGAGAGAAAATTGGGGCACAGGCTATGGATGAGGTGGGAAGTTGATGGATGGGATGAGATGAGATGGGGATGACGTGGGATGGGGTTTGGAGGAGTGCAGGATGGAGTAGGATGATGTGACAAGAAGCATCCCCACTCTGGCGTAACAAGCCCAATCTACCTTGCCGCCTGACCCGCACACATCCACTCTGCCCATCTCGCTTGACCCTCTTCCCCACCCACCCATCCCAGCCGCACCTGCGTATTCCGGCGCCAGATACCCAAACGTGCCAGCCAGTCGCGTCTCAACTGACGGAGCAATCTCCGAATCCATCCCTCTGCCACACCCCCCTTCCCTCCCTGATCCTCCGCCGGGCGGCAGCATCGGTCGCAGCAATAGCTTCGCCAGGCCAAAATCGGCCACCTTGGCACGGCGCCGGCTGTCCAGAAGCACGTTGGCGGGCTTTAAGTCGCGGTGCACGATGGAGTCACGCCCGCCCGCCAGGCTGTGCAGATACTCCACGCCCCTCGCCACGTCCACCGCCACCACCAGCCGCTCCGTCCACGTCAGCGGACGGTGGCCGTGGCGAGTCGGGTCAAAGAGATGCTGACTCAGCGGGCCCTGATTTGCAGGAGAATGGGGTGGACGGGTGAGGGGGGAGGGGAGAGGAGAGGAGGGGAGGCGTGAGTTTCTCTCGAACACGCCCATTTCAGCAATTTTACTCACGTCGAGCATTACTCACCATCTCCAAATGCTCCAAGCCCAGAGTCTTGACATGATCGAGCCTTAACGGTTAAAGTATCTCTAACAATTATGTTTCTAGTGCCAAAAAGGATGAGCTCACCAGTTGCATGAACTCAAACACCAACAGGCGTTCGTGGTGGTCCATGGCGTGGCCCAACAGCACTGTGATAAAAGTAGTGCTTTGAGACGTCTGAAAACACTACTTTTATCACGTTCGTGGTGGTCCATGGAGTGGCCCAACATCGCCAGTCCCCCCCGCTTGCTCCCACCACAGCCGTCAATTCAACCACAATGCGCGCAATAGCGACTCACCATACCAGGTGCGCACAACAACGAACGACTCACCAGGTGCATGTATTCAAAGACCAGCAGGCGCTCGTGGTGGTCCATAACATGGCCCAGCAGCGCCACCAGATTGCGATGTCGCACCTTGCACAGCACTCCCACCTCCGCCTGACGGGGTGGCAGGGTGCAAAGATGGGGGTGGGAGGGGCGCGCATAGGAATGGGAGGGTGCAAGGGCAGCAAGGAGGAGCAGGAGAGGGAGCGTACTGGGTCGGGTCAACGACACGGCCACTCCTTGCAAAGCACAGCCACCTCGGACTCGTGGGATGGGGGAAGGAAGGAGAAAGATGCGTAGAAGGAGAAGCATACAGGGTATCCTGTGGGCTGTAGGCTGTGTCAAATAAACCATTTGAGCCACCCTACTCAGTCACCAAGAACTCTCGAGAGCCTGCTTCACTGATGGGTCTCTGCATCTCGAGATTCCAATCGCTCCACTTCCACCCATTAGACGTATACCCTCCCCCATGCGCCCCCCACTATGTGCCCCTCCACAATAGACTGTGCTAAAGCTCGGCCACCCTTCCTCTTACCACCCCACTCATAAAGAACTCCCTAGTCCCAGTTTCACAGACGGGCCGGGCCTCCATTCTCTTCACGGCCACTGCTCCCATCAGGCATGTCGCCACGGTACACCGTACCAAATCTGTGCCAACCTCCCCCCCTCTACCCCACTCACCAAGAACTCTCGAGTGCCTGCTTCAGTGACGGGTCCTGCTTCCATCCTCTTGACGGCCACTGTGCTCCCATCAGGCATGTCCCCCCGGTACACCGTGCCAAACCCGCCCCTCCCCACCACGTGACTGGGGGAGAAGCCCCCCGTTGCCCCGCGAATCACCTCTATGCTCATTGTCAGCCCCCCTCCCAGTGCCAACCGCGCATGCGCTATCACTGCTCCTCCTGCTCCTGTTCCTGCTCCTGCTCCTGCTCCTGCTCCTTCTGCTGTTCCCTCTCCTCCTGCTCCTCCTGCTCCGGCTGCTGGCGGTCCAGGTGCTGCCAAAGGGTTTACGGAGGAGGTGGCGGGGTGGGGGGCCGTTTGGGGAAGCTTCTTGCCCTTGCCTGGGCGGACGCAGCAGCACCACCCCACAGCCAGCCCCGCCACCAGCGCCACCACTGCTGCCGCCACCACCACCCCCACCACCAGCCCTGCCCCTGCATCCGTCCCCCCACCAGCTCCCCCAGGCGCCTCTGATGCGGATGGGGAGGGGGCGGAAGGGGGGGATGGGACTCCAGGGGAAGGGGAGGATGGGGGCGCGGGTGAGGATGGGGGGGAGGACGGGGGGGAGGTGGACGGGGGAGTGGGGCCAGATGGGGGAGCGGGGGAGGAGGATGGGGCAGGGGGAGGGGAAGAAGGTGGAGAGGAGGAAGGAGCGGCAGGAGAGGGGGCGGGCGGTGGGGAAGGGGCGGAGGACGGAGCTGGTGTTGGTTCCGGTCCAAAACTGTTACCAGTGGTAACCACCTCGACTTGGGGGGGGAATGCAGGCAAAGGGCCGGACAGGCGGTTGTTGCTGACGTCAAGCAGGGTGAGCTGGCTTAAGGACGTGAGGGAATCCGGAATGGAGCCGCTTAAGTTGTTGTTCTTGAGAACTATGGCCGCCAATGTTGTCAGGTTCGCCAATGATGACGTCACCGAGCCTGTCAGGTCCAGGTTTGGCAGCACCAGGCCTACGACTGAGGCTTGGCCCCCGGGAGAGCAGGTAACACCGAGCCAGTTAGGAGACCCACATGGGAGAGCTCCTTCCCAAGAAGTCGACAGAGCCAAAGGGTAATTTACCCCTTGTAGAAATCCGAGCAGGGCATTCACATCAGCAGGACAACTCCCTCCTGTTTGGGTGCTGCAGAACCCATTCTCTCGGTACGAGCTGGAAGGAAATTTACCCATGAAACTCGGGAGAGGTCCCAGCAGCGCGTTTCTGTACACTGTGAATGTTTCAAGAGCAAGCAGGTTCCCAACAGACCCGGGTATCGTCCCTGTGAGCTGATTCTGATGCAGCTGCAGCTGTCTCAGCTGCAACCCCCCACCTCCGCTGCCCAATGTACTTGGAATGCTTCCCGTCAGATTGTTCACGTGAAGCGATAGGTTCAGCAGCTGAGGCGCTAAGGCAATCTCTGGGGGAATCTCCCCGCCTAGGTTATTGTTATTCAGGCCAAGAATCGCCAGGGATTGTAGAGAAGTGAAGAGGAACGGAGGTACGGGACCTTCCAGCAGGTTCTGCCCGAGGCTGAGGTACGTCAGGCTCGTCATGCTGCCGAGGCTGTCAGGTATGGACCCAACCAGCTGGCAGTTGGTGAGCAGAAGCGCCTGTAGGCTCGTTAACTGGCCGAGCTGGCTCGGAATGGACGAGCCTGAGAAGCTGTTGCGGCTGAGGACAATAGCAGTAGGTTGATACAGTGATCCTAACGTTGTGGGTAAAGATCCAGTTAGCTCAACCCCGGTCAGGTCTAATCTCACTACATACTGAAACTTCCCCGTGGTGGCCTGTCCATTTTTATTTCCGTTGCTGCTGCCGTTGCCGTTGCTGTTCCCACTGCCTCTCCCAGGGCCTGATCCAACGGCTGCAGGATTTGATCCAACGGCTGCGGCGCACTTCACACCGAGCCAGCCAGTGGCGCACGGGTCCGTCCCGGACTTCCAGTCGCTCAGCTTCGCCTGATTGGTCGGCTCTTGCAGGAAACCCTGTAGCGCCGCGATATCCGAGGTGAGAGTCGCGGCAAATGCGGCGGGAGGCGCGGAGAAGAGAGCGTGGAGGAGAAATAAGGAGAGGAGGAGGAGATAGCACTGGTGATGGTGATGGCGGTGGTGATGGCCTTCGTGATAGTAGTGATGGTATTGGATGGTTAGTCGCATGCTGACGAGTTCAGGCATTCGTACGAGCGTCGCAGGGGTGTTTCTGCGCGAGCCTGCGATTCTGCTGACGACTGTCATCGTTTTCAAAACGGACGTGCGACAGGGTCCGTGATCGCGTCGACAGGAGTCAATACACAATGCCTAAAGCTGCACAGTTCTTCTAGCTTACGATGCGCCCGAATGAGATTGTCTGAACCTGGACTCTGAAGATAATACTGAACAGTCCTGAAGTTGCTGGAGTCTCGGACTGCATGCACTGAAACGGAGACTGCTTGAGGACGCCGAACGAGAGTATTATACAGAGTACATCGCAATTCTCAGTCAGTTGATCAGTCGATGTCAGCAAACGTCCTCTTACAAATGTCAGCTTGTGGTGCAGGAGTGCGAACGTGCTAGTTATATCATTGTAAAAATGTCCCGTAAGCTAGAAAGCATAGGAGCTATTCACATCAGCTAATGGGTGATTTGAGTAGGTTTGGGACACGGTCCAGGCATCGCAAGGAGGGCCGGAGCTGGGTGAAAGGGTATCCATTGTCAACACCGGTCGTTTCTCCGCCAGCAATACACAACATCTTATGTACTAGACAGCACAGGACAGCGAGGCGAAGGCAGCAGCACAACAGGAACTCGGGAATGGTGACGGCATATCCTAAAGGTCTGGGTATGTCAGTGTTGCTGATAGGCAGACGGAGAGATTCCCAAGACTGGAGTGGGTGTGGGTGCGGTAGGAAGGGAGGGAAGGCAGCTAGTCAGGGAGGCAGGTGACTGCGAGCTTCATCCAGCCCAAGCACACGGAGTTCCCGAGGAACAGAGGGCGGGCCTTGAATTTGGCAGACTTGTCCGACGGCTGGCGACGCGGAAATTTCGCAAGGAGACAGCCGCGTTTGGGCTGTGGCTTCAACGAAACTCTATGCACGTGGTCATAGGTTGCGAAGAGGCGTTTCTACATTCGGATTGGCTCGCGAGGATAAGCAGGCTGATACCTGCAAGCCCTTGGCCGTCGTCATCAAGGGTGAAACGGTGGAACCCCTAACGTGGCTTCAGCTGCGAACTCCACCTCTGCCGGTGGTAACGCGGTGGACATATTCCAGCACTCCTTCGTTGCGACTTCAAGCTTACGACTCCACTTCAGGGCCCTGTTTGGTAGCCCCCCCATTCACTGTAGTTGGTGCAGGTGATCTTCCTCTGCCCAATTTCGACTCACCTTAAAACCAATCGAATCGTTATTAGAACACCATACCTGCCCAGTGCGACTTGACTAGCGAACGCGTAAAAAACCCAGCCCGAGTGAAGTTTACCACGAAATTGCTTGCTCAGGCAAGCTCGACCGTCTGTGAAAGCTCCACTCAGGCAGGCCCGCTCGGTCTGGGTTTTTTACGTTCGTAGCCGTTCGTGATTTTCTTTTATCCATATTGAGGGTTTTCCATTTGGCTGGCTGTTTTTTGTTTGTGAGCTGGGCAGCCTCGTGCTTCAGTAAAAGTTTCGACCAGTAATTTATCGAGAAACACACGGTAACTTTTTGCATTTTGGACGAGACTTCCTTTCAGTGTGAGTGGACGCCCGAGGCTACGAAACATGTCGTAAGCTTCCCCAGTTCGAGTGGGCCCAGTGTGACTGGAAGGCTACCGAACAGGGCCCAGGTCATAGCACTGACGCAACAAGTGATATACATCAGCTGTACAGCACAATAATTTGATTATGTGACGATAATAACATGAACTGCATATCAAAAAGGAAAAACCAAACCGGAAAAAGAAAACCATATCAACTCCGTCTAATACGCAAATATATGATCCTTTGTCATCACCTCCGTTGTCTCTGGTTCCCACCAGGTCGCCCATCATACCCGTCTCCTACAGAACCAGCACCCCAGCCACTGCTTGATGTGCTTCCACCTCCCCATCCTGCACCCTTCTCTCGTTCTCCACCATCAGTGCTGGCACTAGTGTTGCCATTGTTGTTGCTCACATCAGCAAATGGCAGCCTGGCACGCTTGCGAGAGAGGCTGCGCCCAAGAATGGGAGAGACCAGCAGACAGTTACAGCTCTGCTCCTGCCATGCTGTGTACCTGCGCATGGCTGCATACCCTGCAGACAGCACTGGAAACACCCGGAAAAGGAGGCAAGACACACAGAGTTTGACATCCTTCCAACAACCCAGACTGCTTATGGACCAGGAAAACACAAAAGTATCCCAGTGGAATCCCTGCATCCATTGCTCCTGTATCCCCCCCCTTTGTTCATCCCCTTTCCCCTGCTCATTCCCTTTCCCGGTACCGCTCACGCACATTGCTGCTCTTCCTTGGGCAGCAGGCGGCGCACGCGAGGCACCTCTTTCTCTGGGAGCACAAACGCGCGTGTGAGCAGGTCAGCGTAGCGCTCCACAAAGGTGGTGAACAGGAAGCGCGTGAGCGTCTTGTCCCGCACCCTGTTTGACAGGCAGAGCGAGGAGGGGGGTTGCACAGCAGGGCCAGGGGAGTGGGGCGTTGGGGTGAAAATGAGTGTGAGCTGGGAAAAACATTGGGAGGTGAACTCATAAACAGGTGCTCGGAGGCTTCTACGAAAGAGTGACAATGGAGCTAATGCGAAGGAAGAGCTATTGATGAAGTGCTCATGGAGTGACCACCCGCCATGGAGGCAACGATCAGGAATCATGCGGCCAGGGATAATGTACCAAGGAGCAATCTTGGTGCCCAAGGAATAGTAGTAGGGCGAACAGGCACGGAGATTGACACACGCAGCGTCTGCTTGCAACTCCTTCCGAATCCTGTTGGGAACCAAGAGGTGACACAGCGAGGAAGCAACCAGAAGAAGATACGGCATGAATTGCCGACTGCATCTCATTGACAAAGAAAATGGCAAAATCATATGGAAAACGTAATTTAGTTTTGGAGAGAATAGTTGGAACATTCTGAAGAATGAAAAGCACGCGTGCCCTTTTGTTGGCTGTGCCATGCCACTTTAACAACTCGGACCCAGGCCGGCAATGCTTGCACTCCCGCCTGTAGGCTCACAACGTTTGCTGCTCTCCCTGCTGTCGACTAGACATTGATTCACATGGCTAGATGCTGCCTCATTTACAGCTGAAAGTACGGCTGCGGCGCCCTGCTGCTGCCTCACCAGTCGCTGACACACATGCTTTGAAGCAAAGGCTGATTCTGGCTGCTTCATCCTTACCAACAGGCAAAGGGAAAGCTTACCGCTTGCTGCTGCTCTTTGCTTGCCCATTGCCGAAGCAAAACCTATACCGTTGGCTGCTTGGTGCTCACCTCTCGCCGAACATCCTGGGCTCCAAGGCCGACACCATGTTTCGCTTCGCTAGCGCCGGCACCATCCACACCGGCAAGTCCACCTTGGCGCCCACTGCCAGCTGGCGGAAACACGCATGGATGACACGTGGCAGCATACGAGGTCAAGTGGCAGGAAAGCAAAGGAGAAGGAGAGCCCGTGAGCATGGTAGCAATGCGACTTGAGCCTGGAAAGCACTTTTGCCAACATTCTCGCAAGACAGAGGCGCGCGACTTCATGGCATGAGTTCTCAGCAGCTTCGCGAATGTCGTTAGCGTTTTACGCTGATGTCATAGGAGCATATGCTTACGTCATCGGCGTCTGTGCTCGGGTCTAGAGCTCGTCCCACTCCCGTCGCTCCGGTCCGAAACGTAACGGGAAGTTTCTGCGAAAGGCACGCCACCAATATGACGATGAGGAGGCCAGACAACTACCAACGTGGAAGCGGGAAAAACTATGAAGGCTTGTTACGGCGTAAAACAGCGTAAAAGTAGGCTAACGCACCTCATCCTCGGCCAGTATGTCGTCTAAATCATAATAGTTGCTCATGTCATCAGGAAAGGAACGGCGGTCAGCGAATCAAACCACGTGAACGCTCGCTCTCCTACCGCCCATGCCCTGGTGTCTAGCCTACACGCGAACGCAAGAAACGCACGTAATTTCTAATGGTAACCACCGGGTGATCTGGTGAGCTACGACCAGACTGTGAGACCAAGGGCAGACGACGGTTCACGCTACGCGGGAGGTAAGGCAAAATCAAGGTGGCAGGGTGGTTGGATGTCCGGCGAGGCGAGCTGAACGTCAGTTTGAACTGTACTCTCTAGTCTACGCGCGTTTCAGCACTAACAGGCAGCGGGGTGAGCCGGTCGAGGAGATCGAGAAAAGCGCGGGAAACGAATGAAGGGTTGGAACCTGGAAGTACAAGCGAGCAGCGCGGGGGAAACGGGCTTGCGGGAAGAGAAAGGAGAACCCAAGGGCGTAGAGCAGAGGAAGCAAATAGAGCGAACCGAGGCGGAGAAAAATGGGTCATCGATAGTCGCGATGCTCTTCTGGAATTGGGGAGATGGGGGGTCCACAATTTGGGAATTCAAACTCCAGGTACCAGTCATCCGCGTTATAACACCACATTTCAAATTGGGGCGAATGCGAGTGTTACCAGTATGTAAGACTTGTAGCATTTTACGGCCAATGAAAACTGTCACTCTGATGTTCATTTCGATGCGACTCCCTTTGACGCGTACAAACTGGCCCTTAGGGACAGAATTCTGCCATACCCCATATTCCAGGTGATTACTCGATTACCTCGTGCCTTCTTGTTCGCACCTCAACTCAGACTACTACGAGGCACAGCCGGCAAACCCACCGTAACAAAGCCGTTAATTCACTGTGACGAAATGGTGATACGTCTTAGAGGGTCGCGTAATCTCCGGCAGCGTCTGGTGTACGCGACATTATCAGGACGCGCTATTAGAATAGACGACATCCGCGCAGAGGCAGAGAGCCCCGGCTTAACGGAGTACGAAGCGTCGCTGCTGAGACTGCTCGAAAAGATCTCCAACGGCTGTGTTGTGGAAATCAACGAAACAGGTCAGCTCGCGGCATATGAGGCTTAGGAGTTAGGGTCTAGGGTTTGCTTTCGAGGTTTAGTGGCTGGAGGATGTTATTTCGGCCTCACAGGGATTTACCCGTGGGTTTCGCGTGCCCTTTGCTTCTCTCGTAGGACCGACTGGCATTCCCAGCCGGTCGCGTGCTCACTATCTCCTGCGCTGGATGCCCCAATCGTCGTGTGGCAACTGGGTGTTGTGACTTCCGCTCGTTATAGGAACAATGTTGGGATACCACCCACGCGTGTTCCACCCAACCTCGTGTGTTGCGTCCTCCGCTCGTTACAGGAACAAAATTGAGGTACCGCCCCGGCGTGCTGTCCGGCGGGCGGAACCTGACGCATGACTGCGGCACGTCGCGCGCCATAGGTTACTTCCTGCAACCCCTCTTCGTGCTCGGGCTATTTGGAAAAAAAACCCCTCCACATTACACTAAAAGGTGAGACACCGACAGGATGCCTGAGCCCCCCCTGGTCCACTGTGGTGTGGTGCGGTGCATTGCGGTGCCTGTCGGCAGACCAGATTTGTTTTCCGCATCGTCATCTCGGTCCCTTACAGCATCCGTCTCTTCCCTGCCCGTCAAGGACCACCACCCTCTCCCCCTCTCTCGAACGGTCCTTGTATTATATCCATCCTCTCTCACTCTCTCCGTTGCCCTTTCCCAAGCTTAACCAGCAGCACCCGCCACGTTCCCCCACTTTCCCTTCCCCATCCCCCATTCCCCAACCTCCAACCATACCTTCCCGCGCCCACCCGCGACCACCCGCAGGGGTGACGAACGACGACCGCGATCCGAGCATAGACACCCTGCGCACGGCGACGCTGCCCATCCTGAAGCGGTTCGGCGTGGACATGGCGGAAGTCGAGCTCAAGCTCGTTCGCCGCGGCGCGCCTCCCCTGGGCGGAGGGGAGGTGATGCTGCGCCTGCCAATCGTGAAGCAGCTGGAGGTGCGGTGGAAGGGGCTAGGGGCGGAGGACAAGGGGAGGGAGGGGTGGATGGGGAGGGCGATATCTGAAGTCGGTAATCTATGGGGAGGGTTGAGAGTGGATTACTCAACACGTTTCTCTCTCTATTCTCCTCTCTGCCGTTCCCCCGTTTTCCCCAACGTGGCAGCCAGTGGTGTGGGAGGACGAGGGGCTGGTGAAGAGGGTGAGGGGGGTGGCGTTCACAGCGAGGGTGGCGCCGCAGGTGGCGAATCGCATGGTGGACGCGGCTAGAGGGGTGCTCAACCGCCTGCTGCCCGACGTCTTCATCTTCACTGACCATTTCTCGGGAGCAGACTCTGGCAGGTTGGTTGTCTCTCTCTCTCTCGTTTGGGGAGGGGGGGAAGGGAAGGCTAGAGGGGTGCTCAACCGCCTGCTGCCTGATGTCTTCATCTTCACTGACCACTTCTCGGGAGCAGACTCGGGCAGGTAAATTAGTTGGTTGGCTGTTTTTCTTTTTTTCTTTTTGTGTGCTGTGGTGACAAGGCTGATTCAGGTTGAGAAGACTTACTTTGAAATGCACGTTACCTCTGTTCTGCCCCCAATGCTGTTTAAATGGTGACCCTCTCTCAACCACCATACTCACCCGTCCCACCATCCCATGGGCTCCATCATTCTGACAACCCCGCCTCGTCTCACCTCAACTCTCCGTCCCCATCCGTCCCCTTTGCCCCTCAACGCCTCAGGTCGCCTGGCTTTGGCATATCCTTGGTCGCCGAAACAACGTCCGGCTGCCTGCTGAGTGCCGAGAGGGCCATTGCCAGCTGCCGGGGGGAACATGAAGGGGTGGGGGGAGGCGCAGGGAGAGGGGGGAGAGGAGGAGCAGGGGGGCAGGGGGAGGAGGTGCCTGAAGATCTAGGGTTGCAGGCCGCACAGCTGTTGCTGCATGAAGTGAAGCAGGGAGGCGTGGTGGACGGCAGTCAACAGGTGAGCGATCGGAAGGAGGGGAAGAGGGTAAAATTGGAGGGGAGATACGAGGGAAGCGAGGTTGTTGCAGTAAGTAGCGGTTGAGGGTTGAGGATTTTGGAATGGAGAATGAGGGTGAGGATTGAGGTTGGCAGGAAACAGTGGGAGCTGCATGCGGTGATAAAGACGGGCCTGCTGCTGCTGATTCAGCCATGCCAGGGCACGCATGCATGCCTGCATGTCGTCTTGAAATGCTGTGTATACATGCATCATATGGTGGTATGGCAGCATGGTAGCATGGCAGCATGGCGGCACGCCCCACATCAACATCCCATCCACGGTCACTGCTCCCTCCTTGTCGCTAGGCCTTTCAAACGGTCACAAGGAGCACTGTTCATGGCCGGACTAGCATGGCAACACTGTGCTGTGCATGGGGCAGGACCCATGGTGGGATGCTGGCAGTGTTTTCCAGCCATCAGCCTGACCCATGGCAGATGTGCCTCATATCGTGCCATACATTCACATGCCCCTTCCTTCCCCCTCCCCATCAATCCCACCTCCCCTGCTTCCTCCTCCACATGTCGTTCTCTTGTTCCTTTGTGCACACGTCAGGAGGAGCTGTGTTGGGTGCGAGTGGGGCAGTGGACCCTTGCCAGCCCTCACATCACCTCTTTCCCGCCTGCCTCTCTCCCCTCATTCCCCTCCCACAGGCCTTTGTGCTGCTGCTGTGTGCGCTGTGGTCCGGAGGAGTTGTGTCGGGTGCGGGTGGGGCCACTAGCGCCACACACAGTGGACGCACTGAGGGACATGAGGGCCATGCTGGGCGTGCAGTTTGACATCCGCCCTGATGAGAGCACCGGCACAGTGTTTCTCTCTTGTATTGGCTCCGGCCACAAGAACCTCGCGAAACCTGTCACTTGATGTGATGTACATGATGTGTGTATGTGTGCCATCCTGAGTGTAAGCTGATTCATCTTTCAAGATTAATGCAGTGCAGGCTTGGTCGGCTGCCGTTGAAGTCCAGCGAGTATGCCACGTAGGCTACAAGCCTCAGGTTACCAGGATGCCATCTGCAACATGCAGTGTAAATTTCAGCATTATTGCAGAACCATGACTTCCCATGCGCATCAAGGGGGTTAAATAACGACAGTACTTTGATCACCAGACTTTTGATTAGGAATTGCCCTACCACCCAGCCATCAGAAAAACAGAGCAGGTCTTTTGTGGTTGGCACTGGACTGGCACCCCTTCCACCCTCTCCTATGGCCACAAGCACGACAATGGAAGCTGTTTTTCCTAGCACCGTGTTTCGCACCCTGCCTGCATTCCCTGATCCCTGTGTGTGCTCAGGAGATGGCCACCTCCTCCTCGTCAAACTCAAGGAAGGCCGTGAGGATGTGCTTGCGCACCGTGAACTGGTCTATCTTGGCTGGGGCGAGCGGCTGCAGGGATGGGGGGGGGGGGGGCGGGAGGATGGGGAGAGGGAAGGACAAAGAGGAACAGCATTCTAGATTGGAAGGCCGTGAGAATGTGCTTGCGCACCGTGAAGTGGTCTACAGGCTGTGGGTAGGGGGGGGGGGAGAGAGGAGTGGGGAAAGGAGAGGGAGGGACAGTGAGGGAAACCGCAGGCACTACTGGTGGAGGTCAGCAGAACGTGCAGCCAAAGTAATAAATACAGAAAACAAAAACAAAACAAAAAGAGAAACGGAGTGAGGGGACAAAGGTTGCAGTGAACGAGGAATGGCTTACCGTTTGAGCATCCTTTCGACTCTGGCATACTCGTCTGCCAGGTATCTCTCGTTGCTGTCAATGTGGTCGATGATCTTCATGTATATCTGCGCGAAGCTGTTGGCGGGCAAGGTGGGAGGCAGGTGGCAGGCATCAAGTCAGAGCAAAATCAGACGTCACACCCCAAGAAGTAGACGACAGGTAGGAAGGGAGCAGGCGGAGTGGGAGGGAGGTGCCGAAAGGGAGGTACACACAAGATGGATGGACTGACTGGCAATCATGTTTCGAGACATCACAACCAGAGAACAGGGCAATCGTGTGTTTCGAGACATCACAACCAGAGAACAGGGCAATCGTGTTTCGAGACATCAGGGCGATGTGTTAAGGCGAGTTGAGGGGCCCACAGCCACAAGGGGCACGCACGGGTCCTTATGCTCCTTCCTCTGCTGTCCTTTGAGTCGACTCAAAACACACCTGGATATAATGTCACGGGTTTGAAGTCAACACAAAACACTCAGAAGGCCACAGGGGGCACGCACGGGGTCTTTCTTGGCGTCGAGAAAGTCGATGGTGTTGCTCATCTGCGCCCTCAGCTGTACCCTCTGCTGGGCTTTGAGTCGACTCAAACGTGTGTTCTGAGTCGACTCACAACACACCTGGATACAGTCTCACGCGTTTGAAGTCAACACCAAACACTCAGGGGGGCACAACCACAAGGGGCACGCACGGGTCCTTCTTAGCGTCAAGAAAGTCGATGGTGTTGCTCATCTGCGTCCTCAGCTGCACCCGCTGCTCCTTAGATGCCAGGGCGTACTTCACAGCTATCTTGTCCATGTCCTTGATCCGCCCCACCTGCATGCATGCAGCAAGCAGGCAGCACCATGCAGCAATCACGCAGCAGGGCAGCATTGAGCAACCAAGCAGAGTCAGGGATACGGCATAGCTTCTCCCTCTGTTCCCGTGATGCCAGGGCGTACTTCACAGCTATCTTGTCCAAGTCCTTGATTCGCCCCACCTGCATGCACGCAGCACCCGGGAGAGAACCAGGCAGCAACGAGCGCAGAGGAACAGAGGAGAGTAAGGGATGAATCATAGCTCTCCTTCTTCTGCTCCTTTGATGCCAGGGCGTACTGCACTGCTATCTTGAGTCTTGACCAGATCCTTGATGCGCCCCACCTGCATGCATCCAGCACGCAATGCAGAGCAACCAAGGAGAGTAGGGATAGAGTGTACCTTCTTTGGGAGAAGGCATAGCTTCTTCAAGAGAAGGCATAGCTTTTTGCTCTCTGTTCTGCCCGTCAAAGAGCACTGCGAGCATTCATACATCAAGGAGGCTACCCTTATAGCACAGCACATTCTGTTGGCCATGGCGTTGGCAAAGTGAACGTCTGTTGAGCGGACTCAAAAGTCAACCCAGCCCGCCCGGCGAGCATAACGTACATCGTCATCACGGGAGGCCGCCCTTCTTGCGCAATGGTGTTGGCCTTGGCGTTGACCAAGTCCATCATAGGCTGCACTGCAGGTTGCTCCTGAGGCGCCTCAACTCAACAGTCCAGCACATGGCGAGCATACATACATCGTCATCCAGGAGGCCGCCCTTCTTGCGCA